CTATGAACAGCGGACCGATGTTTTATTTTTTTGGCGAGTTAATACTGACAGGAAATATAGCAAAGGCAAATGGTAGGACAGTTTCCCTCCATCCAGTAAACTTTTTGTCTTCCTGAAGATTTCTTTAATGTTTAGCTTTTTTCTGAAATGTAATCTCGACCAGGTGCTAATTAAACGTGAATATATATATGTAATTGTCTTTCAGTCGTTAAATTTGACATTTGTTCTATTTTTACTCCTGTCGCTTACAGCTATATATTATTCAGATGATGAAGTTCATATTTTAAGACATCAGAATTGTAGAAAACTGCACATTGTTTTGTTTCTACTTGTACTTCATAACTAGAATATCGATGTTTCAGCCAAAATATTTTCATAAAACTTCACCTGTAGAAATCATATATTTAAACTGATTTGATGAAAACATACGTGGGTTGTCCCAAAAAGTCGTAGACAACGTTTTAAACTTTGTCAACATTCAACCAAAACTAACCAAAGTTTGTATGACTATCATTTATCAAAGATCCATTAATATAATAAATTTTCAAATGAAAATCTATCAGAGTTATGATATTATGAAGATTTAAAGAAGGTCAATATGGTCTGTCAACGAGCGCTTAAAATCCGGGATAGTTTAGTTATGTTTCTATTGCAATCGCATTTGTTTTTCTGATAATATGTTGAACCTTTAAATTAAGAATTATATAAATAAAATCAGAGAAAAAGTTAGCATAAATTGTTACATTTTCATGAGACAGATGAGTGGTAAAACAATTTTTAAACCATACTCTGAATCTAGCTTGCTGAAAATAACATTGTCAAAGGCGTGAACAGTAGAGTAATGATTGTTAAATTTTGGATTTTAGGAACGTTGTGGATCACAGTCAACTTAAAACTCAGTATATTCTTCGCTTCTTAGGGTCGCCATACAAGAAATAAAATTTGAATCTTTGAAAAAAAAAAAAAAAAAACCTTAAAACTTTATTGCGTTCCATAGTCACATCTGGTTTGTCATTGCATTTGAAAAATTCAAGTACGCGTGTTGCGTACAAAGGCCAGTATTTTGAAAAGAATGATCATGATGTTAGAAAAGACGTTAATTATGTTTGCATTCGTGCGCAGACCTACACTATTATGCTTTCTTTATTTTAAAATTATTTTCTTATTAAGAGTGTAATTCTTAAGAAACTTGAAATGCCTGATCATTAAATTTTGACTTTTACAATGACAAACAAAAAGCCGTGAAAGCAAAGGCAAAGGACAAGGTATGGTTACGGCCAAATAAGCCCCTTATTTGATGTAAAAATCAGAACGCAGTTAAAATTGTGATAGTTCGTAGTTAAGAACTCAAAACAATGCTTGTTTTAAAACAAACACTAATTTTGATTCAAAACTTACACAGAGGCCACAAGAGGGTGCAGAAGTAGGACATTTTCCCGAATTTCCTCAATTCTGTTGGAAATTTGTCAAATTTGAGATTCTTTTCACTTCGGGAAACATAGAGCACAAGCTTGCCTATCTGAGATTTTTATACACAAGATGCATCTGATACTAGTGTATGAAATATATAAATTTGTTATATAGGCAAGCTTGTGCTCTATGTTTTCTGAAACAAAATGTGGTGTAAAATCGATGGAAATTCGCGTAAAAATGAGAAAATTCGGAAATTGACATATTTTCTGACCTTCCTGTGATCTCTGTGTATCCCATAATTTAGAACTAATACTCATTCAAAGACAGGGATGACAACAGGTTTTTATTGATAAACTGTGGCATCATTCTAAAAGACACCCCAAACCAGGGGCCAAAAGTGGGTCTTAGCCTATCTTGTCTTTTAATTGAATAACCTGCCTATGACTCGTAAGGATTTATGCAGGAAAAAAAATCCATCATGGCAAGGAGCACACGGCGGGTGTAACCGGTCGGCAGAGGATGCTCACTCCTCCATGGCACTGATCCCACCTCTGATGTCTTAGAGGTCGGTGTTTGCTCTGCTCCTATTTTGTAATAATTAATGGAATTTTGAGCTCGAATACTGTTCGTTATCTTCACATATTTCACTTTTATATATTATGTCTGGTAAATCTTATCAGTTATATAAGCAGGTAATCTTTCACTCATTTATCCTATCAGTTAAATTTTATCTGGGAAATTTTATTTGGGAGTCGTAAAAGAAAAATAATCTAACCACTGTACAAATAATTTTTTTGCAGTTTTCATACCCCCTTCCCCCCTACAAAAAAAAAAAGGAAAAAAAAACAAACAAACAAACAAACTATAACAAATTTATAGAAATATCTCAATCGTTGACAATAGGACGAGCTATTAGGTATTCCTTATATAGGACTAAGCATTAGTATCTATTTTGTTTAAATCATAAGTAACCATGACAGTCATATTGCGAAATCTCACATCCCGGAATATACAGTTATAATGACATCGTAGGCAAGAATTTAAAGTGGTTAATTTGTACTTAAATCTCTCTATGAGGAAAAAGGAAAAAGGAAGAAGATGAGAAAACAATCACATTGAGGAATTCCAAGAAAATGAGGAAGGTGTATATTTTATTCCGGTTTTACGCTGTCACACAAACTCCCAGATTTGGAATCATGTTGTTAAGATACAAACAACCATTTCCTTGTTTGAATGGTTTTCTGAGCTTGAATAAGTTTCTTAAATCTATATATTTCATTGGAATTATCCACTGGCATTATTGCATATTTATATTTTTTGATTAGTTAACTCATTCGTCTTCTTCATTGTGATGTTTAAATGCAATTACATACGCAGCTTTGTCAAGGATTCTAGAAGCACAAAATTAAATTTTGTACATAGCATTTCATTTACAGCTCGGGTTTGATTTTCATTTATATGCTATGAACATAAATACAGATAAAATACAAAACTGGAACATTCAACTAGGCAACTATGGTAAGGCTGCCTGAAATATTTATTTGCAATCAAAACGTATCTCTGCATTTCCAGCTCGGTTATGAAATCAACTTATAGCTACGAAAATGAATACAGACAATTAGCAGAAGGGGGGTCTCTCAACTACATATTTACATATTTGTTTCAATTACAATGATCCGGTTAATCACGTGACGGTCAAGTATATTTCGTTTTCAAGTGTAACATATAAATCGCCCCGGCGCAATCTTTACTAATTTTTTTGACATAAATATTTTTTTTTGGTATCCAAAAGTTCCTGAAAAAGTGCTTGGGATGAGCAATAGTATTATCAATGTACGAAATATTTCCTTTGAATTTAAATTTATCCACATATTTGAGGATGTTTCCCAATTCATCGTAATTTTTATTAAAGAGAAGCGATTACACTTCCATTCCAAGAAGATTCATTTTTAATAAAAATTCTCCTTTTAGAAACGTTTACAAAATATTTAAAGTTAAAAGTTTTATTATTTTATTATATTTAAAGTTTATTCTTATATATTTACATTTCCAATTGTTTTCATTTTCATATATCTTTGGAAGATAAGTGTGTTGATTTCTCGATCTTTATAACTGAACGTAAATTTCACCAAAGGTTAAGTGCCTTATTTGCGTAGGCTGTCAGTGGATGGGGACTACGAAAATTAACATGAAATGTTTTGTGTATTCCAGTTCTATTATAGAGCATTTTTATTTACATTTCTATTCTTACTTCATATAGAATTGTAAATATATGAAATCGCTGTCTAATTTGTTGGGTATGCAAAGATCATTAACAACACCAACAAACTAGTCAGTGATTCTTAACAATGATTAGCGCAAGCATATTATATACACACAAATAAATTCTACCTCTTAACACCGTCCTGAAAAAGGAAGCATTTCAAAGTCAAGATTTTTCAATATCGTATTGAATACACTTAATTTTAATTCACAGAAACTAAACAATGTGACATCTTTATATAATAAGGACCAACCCTCAAAGGTAAAAACTTTTAATGAAATTAGACGTGAACTTTATAACATTATCCCCGTCATGAGAGCTCAAGTTTGCATTGACTTTATGTCATATTCAATTTTGACGTCATATCTCGGTATTTAGAGAAGTGACTGGATAGGATGTACTGTGATATTTTACGCTAAACTTTAAGCTAATATAACGTATATATTTTGACACATCATGTCCTGCTTGATTACGTGACGGTCAATTACGTTTCTTTTTCAAGTGATGCACAAAAGTCGCTTCGGTGCAAGTGCTTAACAAACAGTTTTTTTTAATTTATTTTTTTGTTACATAAAGAAACTCGTTTACTGGTGTAACTGAAAAATTCTCGGATATATAATAAAATAAAAAAAAATAAAAAAAAAAAAATACGAGAATTTGAACTTACCTGCACATTTGATGTTTTCCATTCTTCATCATAAGTATAGTAAATCACGTTTATAACGAACACGCTTATTATGAATTGACCCTTACACCGAAGTGATTTTCATTTCCTGTAACTTGAAAAGTATATTTAAAACTGAATGAATATAACAAATTACTCTTATATATAAAATTGTCCGTCAATGGTACTTCGTTATAAGCGTATTTTATTGTACCTAGAATTAAGAGCAAAGTTTTAGGTATTTAAAAGGACAATAGAGAGTTTTAGAAGATCTTATGCAATAAATGTTAATTCAAACGAAATTTGCAAATTAATACCTGCAATAACAATTACATGTATTACATTTTTGTCATTTCAAGATTCATGGAACAAGTTATGCATTATTGTCGAGCATACAGATTAGCCTGTAGAGTGCTATACTCAAAAAATACTTAAAAAAAGAATATTACTTACTGTGTTTTAATTGAATGAAAAGATCATAATAGTGATTATCGTTCTGCTATTATTAAGAATATCCGGGGTTTTTTTTTTTTCCTCATTCTTTGAAACAATTTTTTTTGTATAAAAGTTAAAGACACTTGGATCTATTTCATATGATCATGAGAATTGCAACAATAGAAAGTAGATAGACAGTGTATCTATAAACCTATTTGTTCACAGTTTGTGACAGTGGTGCGTTTGGACTAAACTGTAATCAGTCATGCGGGGTTTGCTTTGGAAAAGAACAGTGTGATTACGTAAACGGGACATGCTTGAATGGCTGTGACAAAGGTTATCAAGGAGACACTTGTAAACAAGGTAACGCATTAAAGGTCATTCACATAAATTATATATTTTATCATTCTACAACTATTTTAATGCGTTGTCAATAAAAAACTGCACAAAGTATTTCTGAATGCTAAAGTTTAACTTTTTACTGATTTGTGTATTTTATTAAATCATGACATAGTGCTGTGCTCAGGTGGTCACAATGATGAAATTCATTCACTAAGGCGGAGAATGTAAGAGATATCATACTGAAACGCATATGAAAGGCAACATCCTATCTTAGAGGAAAAATATTCAGATATAGGGTATAATTTTGCACTTAAAAAGTGAGGACATCTTCATCTTTGCCAAGTCGGTAAATTAATTGAACGAATTTCATCACGATACCGGACCAAAGTTTGATCCCGACTTAACGGAAATCAAAAAAAAAAAAAAAAAAATAAAAAAAATAAAAAGTTATAAAAACTTGCATCTTCTCATCATAAGTATTGCAGCGATATTCCGACAAATAATTTTTCTTTTCTTTCTTAAAAGTATTACTAAGGCTTTCTGAAAATGACTTTCATTCCCATCGCTCTAGCTGATATTCTTAAAATGATAAAATGAGATGAACGTGAGTGACAAATGCAAAGATGCACTATATCACATATCATCATGGTCATATGTCTCACTAAGTTGAGTAACAGTCCGTGGACTGGAAGTCTAAGAGTTTCTAGACTGTGCCAGTTTCGAGGAAATTCGACCTCAGATTCTGAAAACAGGCATTTCAGAAAGGCTGAATAATATTTCTTTCGCTCAGATCAAGAGACTTATGAACTTAATGCATCGTAGAACTCGAGCTGCAATTGTTGTGAATGACACGCTTTGATTTTCGTAGTCCCCATCCACTGACAGCCTATGCAAATCAGGCACTTAACCTTTGGTGAAATTTACGTTTTTTGCTTTTGTTTTTGTTTTTTGGGGGTTTTTTTTTTTTTTTGTACATCCACAATATTTGGATAAATTGTCTAGTTCGTTTTTTTTTTTTTTTTTTTTTTTTTTTTTTTTTTTTTTTGCAGAATGTCCAGATGGTCGTTATGGATACAACTGCCAGGAAATTTGTAGCACTTGCACTGCAATCAGAAGATGTGACGCAATATTAGGGCAGTGTAGTGGTACAAATCTATAATATTTATGATATAAATCTAAAAAGTATAGCCACAGGGTTAAGTAGCATTTTTTCTCATTTACATATTATTGCAAAGGAAAAAAGTTCACAGTTGGTTTTTGAAAATTTCACTGAGTGGGCAACAAACAATCTGAGTCTAGGTATATGTAATCCAATAATACAAAATATTTAAAAAGAAATAAAATGAAATAGATTTTGCACACGACAAAAAAACAGTGTATGTGTTCTTAAGTTAAAAACAAGTTTTACCCTATTTACCTCGTTATTCTTTGATACTTACTTGATAACATCACTTTGAAATTGATTATGGTAATATGTTCTAATTTAGTAAAAACAAATTAAACAGTTTCGAACAATTTCTCTTCGAAAAAAAAATAAAATGCGTGGTCAATATTATATTAGGATTTCAGATTATTTTAAGAGGAAGTGCACACGTTTATTTTATGTTATTACAGCCATTAGAAGATCATCAGATTCTGATACAAACAAGTCCTTACTATTTCTATACGGAGTTCTCTCTTCTCTTTGCTTAAATGTGGGCTTAAACATCTGTTTAATATTCTGGTGAGTTTGTTTAAATTTTCTTGTTTCCATTTTAAATTTCAAACTTTTCAATGCTGTTTAAGTTTATTAAAAATGATTCAGCAAAAATTTATATGAAAGGAGCTCTTATATTTATTAATTGTTATAGGACTTGTAGAAACAAGTGCAGAGGAAGGAAACGCCAAGAAAAAAGAATCACACAATTGTCCTCGGAACCTCTCAAGCCTCATACAGAAAAAAGAATCACACAATTGTCCTCGGAACCTCTCAAGCCTCATACAGAAAAAAATGCCGATGATGAAGAGAGTGTTTTGTATGAAGACATGGATCTCATTTATGACAACTAACATTAGAGTGAAGTTGTAGAATTTGAGTTTTCAACCTTAACAAACAATAATTTTAATATGTCTTTAATATTTACTACATGGTATCACTAATATTGTAAGAAAAAAACAATAAAATGACAGAAATAGATATAAAGACTCCGTGTATAGTTTGGTACGTGTTTTTTTTTTTATTCAAGTTACAGGAAAGACATAACACATGTTCCTGGTATACAAATCACCAATTGAAAAAAAAAAAAAAAAAAAAAAAAAACTATAAATAGAACATAAAGAAAATAAATGATTAAAAAAAAGAAAACAATAGTCTCAGTCAACATGACTCTTGTGACTGTAGATAAAATGAAATATTCCCAACAGTTTTCTCTGGTATATCTCCTTGAAATTTAAGTCTTTTGATTTCTTGGTATTTACAACTGAATGTATAATTCGCCAAGTGAAAGGTCAATGGCCTTATATGCATGTAAATTTCCCGCAGCTGTCGTTGTGTCTGGCGTCAGTGGGCGGGGAATACGGATATATTTATTTATTTCATATATAAATGTAAATATAAGGACTCACCGCCCAGTTTGTTGGGTATGCAAAAGACATTAAGGATGGTTCGAAATATGGGATAATGTACGTATTACGGGTGTACCCAACAAATAAGAATTGATTCCTCACGTATCATGCAGAGAAATACAGGAAACAGAGGAGGCAAACCAAACAAAGTTTGTTCTTACGTAAACAGTCACCAGCATGACGCAGTGGTTAGGACGTTTGCTCGCGTAGTTAGGAATCGCGTAGTTAGGAATTGATCCTTAAGTAGCGGGTTCCAATCCCATTGCGGGACTGAGAGACCGGTCCTTTAGATTAGACCGAATATACCGAGGTCCGTGTGGGTGTTTGCACGTAAAAGATCCCTCACTGCTGAAAAGTTTTAAGAGCGAGTGCAGATCCTAATTTGCAACCCTCCACCGGCATGTGATGGAGTCTCAATATGATTGAAAAATTCTCGAAGGGACGTTAAACAAACAAACATTATTAAGTTATCGAATCAGTCCAAGGTAAGATGTTTCTGTTCATCATTTAAATTGTTCCTTTAAAGCAATCAGCTGATGTTTCCATTTCTTCTGAGAATAAGGACATGTATTTTGATCAGGATTCTCTCTGATTAGCCATTGCAAAGTCTGACAAATCTATTTTATCGAAGAATCATATCACTTCTGTTTCTGAACACAAATAGTGTCTTCTTATGGAAGATTTTTTTTTTTTTTTTTTTTTTTTTTTTTGAATATTGTATCTCATTCGCAACATGTTGTACGTACTGAATTTTGAAGAATAATTTTAAATGAAAAATTGATTATTTGTAAATGAATTTGACATTATATATATACTTTATAGGGTTTTTTTATGTCCTGATTATATGATATTGAATACAATGATAATAATGCTGATAAAATTATTTATTAATGCGATCAGCAGATTCATTTTTGTTTTTAAAAAAAATTAAAATTAAAGAAACAATTCATTTAAAACAGCTAGTACATAGTGCAACTGCCAACGGTGTTTTAGGTTTATCTAACTTATATATTGGTGAGCATGGGCATGAGTTGGCTGTACAATTGCATGATTTCTATACGTTTTATATGACACAGTTTAATCTTACCCATTATTTATTAATGTTTTTTTAAATAAAATGATTTAAATTTAATGAGAAATATATTGTTCAATTCTGGTACCTACATTAAAAACAAGATGTGATTGTGATACACTGATGCCCCCGTATGACAACTCATATCAAAGGTTAAACTTTCTCAAATACAAATCAAATATGTTGGTACCCAAAGTAAGGTCTTGTCTAGAGGAATGTAACGTTTTGGGTTTTATAAGTAAATATAAATAAATTCACTGCCACCAATTGTAACGTGTAATTTTACATCAAATCGGTACCTATGAGGCACGTTACAATAGTTGGGTTCGAAGGTACCTAGTTTTAAAAAAGGAAAGAAATATATATAAACAGTTAATACATATATTTATTATAGCATCAGTACATATATTTATTATAGCATCAAAGACAATAAAGTTCAATAAATATTTAAAGTGTCTCTTCAATATTAAGTATGCTGCCGAAATTCCACGGAGCTCGGTGTTCGGTGCTACTCGGTGCTTCTCGGTGCTCGGGCCTACTCGATGTTCGGTGCTACTCGGTTTCCGGTACTACTAGGTGTTCTGTACTTCTTCTCGATTTCCGGGGCTTCAAGATGTTCGGTGCTATCTGCTGCTACTACTAAGTATAACTATACAGGCACAATCAGGAACTCTGATACTGTAATCAGAACTATATCTGAAATCCAAATATCTACTTCTTAATAACAAAAAGTCCACCCCCCCCCCTCCTATGCTAGCATGTCATGCATATATAGGAAAGTTCTTGTGCTAATGTCAACCATCATTTATAACCTATGCAACTTAGAATGGTCTAATATATACTACTCGGTGCTCGGGACTACTCGGTGCGACCAGGTGCACGGTGCTACCCGGTGCTCGGTGCCGCCGGTGCCAAACTGCACCGTAAATTAACTTTAGCTAAATCTCAATAAAAACAAAATTAATTATTCTAAACTTGCACAGTTGATTATACTAAAATTTATTCCAATAATTTAAGAAACAAACTTTGGCTCAGAATCTCACACCGAGTAGTCAATATCTGAATACTTTAAACTAATAAAAATTCTCAAATATTTTCTAAAGAATTTACATTTTAATATACTATATCTAAATAGGCTAAGAAGGTTTTAACTTTTTCTAACTTATCTAAAATACGAATTTACCTTAAACTTTACTGGCACCAACCAACACCGACTTTTGCTTTATTTTTCTTGAGGAGATCTGACGACGCCGCATCGAGTTTGCTGCTACGTCATATGTAAAATGTAAAACTCCAAAAACAATACTTTTATCAATAAACTAGGATAAACCAACCTACTAATAATACTCCAAAAGATCTATTTTATATAACTATAATTATATAATTATTTTAAGCTTATATTTCTAGAGTTATATATCCCGAAACTAATTTTATAATTATTTTAAGCTTATATTTCTAGAGTTATATATCCCGAAACTTCTCGTTTGCCAATATTCCGGATTAAGATACTAGGCTTTGTGCGCCACCGGGAACTAAAATCGAGCACAAAGCAGGTGCCCTACCACTAGGATTCTGCGACCAGTAGAATGTATTGCATTTACGCGTTCAAAATCGGGTTTTTATATTCTAAATCGAATTAAAAGTAGATTGTTTACTGGCATAATCCTCTCTCTCTCTCTCTCTCTCTCTCTCTCTCTCTCTCTCTCTCTCATCAACTTCCTATTAGAACTTCTTCTTCAGATATCTTATTCTACTTAAACCAGCTTATGTTGTATCAGGATATAAAGAGACACACCATGGATCGGAAAATTTGAATCTAATTAGTTCATCCTTATGAATAGATTTAAAAGATTATTTGATTTGATATAATTTGGATATTTTCCCCGGGACTTCATATACTCTTATGACTGTGCATGAAGATTTATTAATACATTGTATGTTTTTTTTCTATTTATATATGAATAGAATATAGGACACGGCCAACAATCATTAACTGATCGAAAGTACATTGTATATAATAAATAGAAACATGAAATAATTCTGCTTTGATGGGGAGATCAATTTTTGATTTAAAACAATCAAATAGGTGGGTTGGTAAATTGGGGAATGGGTTGGGATAAAGGGTACCGAACTGTTATATTGTCTAACATCGATAATCAATAAGAAAGTGCATTTTCACAAGATGAAACACTTCCTTAAGCTTGCCTTAATGTTGGCTTATAGGTTCTTAATGATGGTTGAATGGTTGTCTTGAAGTCAACATTAAGAATCTTTAAGCCATCTTTAAGCTAACATAAACAACCTTTAAGCCACCATTGAGTCACCATTACGCAGTCCATAAAACTGCTTTTATTGGTAAAATATTATTTTTATAATGATTTCTTCTCCCAAATTAACCTACCATTAAGCCACTTTTAAACCAGCATTAAAACACCATCATACAGTCAATAAAACTGCTTTTATGGGTAAAATACTATTTTTATAATGATTTCCTCTCGCAAATTATAAATGTCGAGTTTACACATTTGTTAATTTGGCGAAAAATAATGAAAAGAAAGAAAAGTAAAAAAAAAAAATATATATAAAGAAAACAAGCCGTTGACAGGATTCGATCCCACGACCTTTGTATAAGAGGTCAAACGCTTTAACTACTAGGCTTTCGGAGCTATTAAAATATAGTTTAAATATAAAACCTTTAATTTTTAACAAAATTTGTTTGAGCTGGTACATGTATTTCTTTTTAATGTTTTGCGTCCCATTCGAGAATTTTTCACTCATATAGAGACGTCAGCATATACCGTTGAAGGGTTTCAAATTTAGACCTTTACTCGGCACTCAGCAACATTGAGCAGTGAAGGATCTTTATCGTGCTAACGCCTTTCGTGACACGGGGCCTCGGTTTTTAAGGTCTCGTCCGAAGGACCCCGAAGGAACAGTTGCTACAAATGTACCTATTTTTTTATCGACTTTGGTTAGTCGCGGCCGAGATTCGAACTTCACGGCCTTCCGATCACGGTGCGAGCGCTCTACCGACTGAGCTACCGTGACGGCTTTTAATGTTTATATTAAATGTTTATATTTATTAATCAATAATATATATATATATATATATATATATATATATATATATATATATATATATATATATATATATATTTAATCACTGCAAGGTATTAAACTGTCCAATGTTGAGTTCTCTCTCACATAGTATTATTAAAGAAAGGTATGGATATTAGAAAAAAATAATAGATAATAGTGAAGGAAATTGAATACGGGTAGAACAGAATTAGAAGAAAACTGATAACTTAAGAACCCTATAAAATTTTGAAACATTTATTTTGAATATTGTACTAATAATCATAGCATTTTTGAAAGGGAAGAAATTTTTTTTAAGAAAATATGAATTTATTGGGTAGTAATAACTATGTGGAGAGAAAAGTCTTGATTGTCACCCCAAACATTTTGGCATAACTCATGTTCATCCTGGTGAAGTCATTCAGTTTGTTAATACCATTAGGGCGGAATGACTTCAGCCTATGCATCCAAATTTTTTCTTTGCTTTTTTCTTTCTGCATCGGTCCATTTTGGATAATTGTCAAGAACCACTACTGTCATGTCCTCCCATTTGTACCGAAAAGGTTCATTGAGTTTCTTGGTCTTAATGGTCGAACGGTAATTATTGGTTCTCCTGCGGAGATCTCCCGATTCTCCAACGTACTATTTAGCGCAAACTTTACAACTGATGAGATTTATGCAGTTCTGTTTGAATAGAAAAATTTCCCCGAAATTCTGTAGCTGCGGACTGTAACGGGGCTGTTAAAGCCATCTGTGTCAGAGCTGTGCTTACAGAGAAGACATCTGTCAGAACAAAGATTTAAAGCCTCCGTTGGGTAATGGATATTCCAATCTGGTTTTTGCTACCATGTCCTTTAAGTTCCTCGGGAACCTGTATGCAGCCAACGGAGGTTCCTAAGAGGCCTCTGCCATTCTCTTGTTTGAGTGGAGAATTGGCAGCTTCTTAAGAACCTCAGCAGTATTCTTAAAAAGAACCTGACAATTCTCCATATGTTATAATGAGAAAAACAGAGAGAGGCTTAATAGAACATTTACTGAGCCCTGTATTTTTTTTTTTTTTTTTTTTTTGCAAGGATTTTTATAAACTTTTCGTTGTAATTCATTTCTTTTGAATGAAAAATTTATGACAAGTTTCTGGTTCTGATTAAGCCCTCGAAAACATGTAAAAGTACAAATTTTGATAGTTTAATATTTGAAGAGTTGGGACGTCCCGTAACATTTGACGTTAAGAAATTATACGGGATTTATAAATACATTGTAACAACTTCAAAAATCAAATCCGAGGGCTTATTGTTCTAATTTGGAAATGAAAAAAAAAAAAAAAAAAGATTTGTGGGGATTAAAAGAACATAAAATTTTATTCCTAGTCAATTGCATGTACAAGCAAAAACCAAGCGAATGGGGCTGAAAAAAAGTGCCCGGCCGGATTTCGCACTAGGTGTGGACACAGTCATCACTGTATAAGTTTTGTTTGTTTGTTTGTATGTTGTTTAACGTCCCTCTCTAGAAGTTTTCACTCATATGGAGACGCCACCACTTGCCGGTGGAGAGCTGCAAATTTTGTCCTACACTCGGCACTTAAGGCCATTGAGCAGTGAGGGATCTTTTTCGTGCTAACACCTACTGCGACACTGGACCTCGGTTTATACGTTCTCATCCAAAGGACTGGTCTCCACGTCCCACAGTGGGATTCGAACCCGCGATGTAAGGATCAACTCCTTACTCCGCGACTCTAGAGCAGACGCTCTAACCACTGCGCCACGCTGGCGACATCACTGTATAATGAAATATATGGAGATAACGAACAGTATTCAAGCTCAAAAGTCCATTATACAATACAAAATAGGAGCAGAGCAAACACGGACCTCCAAACATCAGAGGTGGGATCAGGTGCCATGGAGGAGTGAGCATCCAATGCCGTCCGGTCACACCCGCCGTGTGCTCCTTGTCATGATCGGGAAAAAACGGAAAAATCCGTCGACAATTCAGTGTGTAAATAATGGCCTAATAATTAGTATGAAAAACGTCAGTCAGCATTTGACTTAATGATAAATTGTATTTGCTGACAAGGTCATTGTATCGACCATAGAACTTACGAAATGATGACTTTAAACGAGACAGCTGGTATTCTGTATAAGTAGAGAGTGCTAAAATATGAGAAAAGGGTTTTAAAATGATGTACAAAAATAAAGCACAATGTACTTCAAAACAAGTTTATGTTCTTTAGTTCTCCTTTCAAACGACTGAACTTGATTTTGGTTGAGCAGGTAAAAAAAAGCAACATCGGTAAGAGTGAAAAAAATGTCATTTATTGAAGTAAATGACGAAAAATCTTAAAACATACTTAACAAAGCAACTTTCTACCAATGGAATTATAAAGAACGAAATATTGTGACAAAAATCCAACTTAATTGCAATAAAAACGATTTTACCTACTTTACATGTAAATAATGATATCGTCCTTTCTTACTGTTTCTTTTTTATAGTAACAAAAAGAGGATTTCCTTTTAAATGTACATTGTTAACCTTAAGTCGCATAATCATTTCGGAAAAATATGAGTTTCTGACCTTTCTACCTCATTTATATAATAGGTTATTCTAAAACAAAAACTTGATTTTGCTTCCTGCTTTTAAGTTATTCCGTATCACACTACATAAAAGGGGAGCTATGTTGTTATATTTTCTTGGGGAATTGATATTGGTCGGAAATATAGCAAATGCTTATGGTAAGATGATTTTTATTCAACTACTCCTCTATTTATCATTAGAGTTAATTATTGTATTTGTATTTTAATTTCGATACTTGCGTAAAAAAAAAATTGCTTATATTGATTCTATACATATAATTCCGTCGTACAGTCGAAAAAATTCGGTTACTTGTCGATTTTTACTCCTGTCACAGCCTTATATTTTACCGATAATGATGTCTGTTTTAGTAAATCAGGGAAAAAAGTAGATAATTTTTTTTTTAATTTATACATCATAATTATTATGTTTCAATAATGGTGTTTGAGACAAAATTGTACCAATACAAATGAATGAATGTAAATTAAAGAAAAAAAATATTTTTACTTTAATTTTTTTTTTGTGCTTAAATTTAACTTCTTCCCTCACTGTATAGAAATATAATATCTCAGTCGCAAACGTGCCCATGTGCTACTTAATGGACTTTGGAATTTGCATACTGAATTAGTTTTGTCACGTTCACATCCGGAAGTGTGCCATTGTAATGACATCGTAGGCCGTACATTTAAAGTTGATTTTTAGATTTCTCGACAAGGAAAACGGAAGAGAATAAAAAAGAAGAATAACAGAAATAAACAGAAATAATTATTAAGTGTATTTTTCTTTTTTTTTTTTTAATATTTACAAGAACTACTAGCGAAGTCATTGCACGATTTATTTTTGTTTAAGCTGTGATATTATTTAAACCTCAGTTTGTGTATCTTATCGTAAAACTACAAATAAACACTTATTTTTTAGGTATACAAGTATTATCGACTGGCCTTTTATTAATTTGCTCATTCGCTTTTGTCATCTTGGTGTTTGAAAAATGAAACAATGAATACTTCAATGTAATGAAACCCTTAATATTATTGCTCTATGTTAAATTTCTGTATCTACATGTATCTATATTGATTATCGATAGTAAATGTGAAAATAATTCTAACAAAAGCCTCTGTTACTCTATGTTAAATATATGATTTCTTTTCTGAAAAAGTAATATCGAGGTTTTTAAGAAAAATGCAGTCAATGCATTTTTATAAGGAAATACTTAATACGGTCTATGTACATTGAAGCATGTTAAGAAAATGGACCTAACTATTTTTAAGCAGAATTATTGCATTATTGAATATTCATAACAGATTGCATATGATGGTTTTTGCTTTGTTTTTGCCACAGGAATTCATCTACAATTAACATGCATATTAATTTTTGAGATGTTAAAATTGCAATTCAGGAGTATATATTTGTCATTTCTGAGATATAATTTTCTTTTTCTTTCTTTTTTTACTGATCGATATCTTGTTATATAAAGTTTTCTTCAAGATTTTTCAGTAACCAAAAGACCTTGTTTCCTTTTTTTTTATTAAGAAAATCTTGCTTTCTATAAACCGACATGGCAACAGCATCCCTATAATGCCTATTACTGGAACACTAAGTCAGATAATGCAGTGGATGGACTGTTTTCGGACAGGTCTCTTAATGGTGGACAATGTACGATATCAGACAACAAAAGACAAACTGCAACCCTGTGGGTGAATCTAGGAAGAATTCTCAGCATACATCAAATAACTGTCTACTACAGGACGGACAATTTACCATGGGGTATCGTACTAATAGCCCTCATTTAAAAACTTAGTTCATATTCTTTTTCAATGTTAGAATACTCGTAAATGATAGTATATATTCTAAGATTCAAAAATGATCGGCGATTGGTAACGTGGGTATTTTGCTATGAATTCTTTTATATGTAAGTAATTATTATACACCTGAAAAAGCAATGTGATATTCATTTTTTATAGAAAAACTGAGATCTTTATTTTAAACATACAAGTCAGAAATATGAAAGATGTCAACAACCAAATTTGTTTTGAATATGCTGAACTCTCGATCGTCTGTTAATACTCTAAAATGAATGCTTTCTTGGGTTTTGTATGCTTAACCAGGTTATTTTTTTTCTGCAATGGCTGCAATTGCTTATACTCGTATTAACTGACAAAGAATGATATATTTGATTATATTTTTGTCCTTATAAATTATTTATAGAAACTGATTGTAAGTACTGAAAACTATTGTATTGTTGATCCGAAAGTTGTATTGATAGAAAACCCACTTCTCAAAATATTGTTCATATAGACGGCTCTAAAACAGTTCTAACTTTATCAGTGTAAAATGATTAGCGGGATTCGGTCTATCTAAGAGAGAACGTTGAAATAAATTCATTTGATCTAAAAATAATAATGAATTGATCAAAATCTTCTTCAATTGTTATTCAAATGTACAGCTACATGTGGTTTACTTCTAGTTGAATTTTTTTTTTCTTCCAAAAAATTTACAAGCGCTCTAAAAATTGAGAACTGGTAATTTATTTTAAGTAAAAGAAATTGCTTGGACGAGTTCAGAATTATTACTCGAAGACATCTCTCAAAAGACAGGGTTATTCAGCTTGAAAAAAAAAAAAATATATTCGTCATAAATATTTGTTTGAACGCCTTCGATGGCATGACATTTCACACAGAGCTGCGGTTATTTTTTATGAAATAAAGAGCTCAATGAGTCTCGATTTTTCTTCGGATAACAATTACTACATACAGTAAACGACCCTTATAACGAAGTGTCAGAGACGGACGATTTTGCTTCGTTATAAGCGTAATTTGTAATATCCATTAAGTTTGCATAATTTTTCAAACTTACGGGGGAAAAAAATCACTTCGCATTAATCGTCAATTCGTTATACCGTGTTTACTTTAAGCGTGTATTACTGTACAATGATTAAGGTTAGACTTAGTAAATTATTGTGCTTATAAACATCAATTCCTTTTAATCTTTTTTAGAATAATGTTAAAGGTATTAGGAGCATGTTAATTTTGTATTTTGTACATATTATATGTTTGTTTCAGTAACTAAAAAATATACATTTAATATACTTTTGTAAATTAATATTCATCGAGATGTTTTGCATGTCTTTTGAAGGATTTACATCAAACTTTGTAAACGCATGTCTCTGAAATATGCTCATTTCAAACTAGAAAGAGAGTAAGAATTACATGTATGTTCTTTAAAAGAAGTTATTCCCTCAAATTCATAGAAATAATTTTATTTCAAGACATTTTGCTTCGGCAAAACTATGAATTGCAGTGAAAGATATTTCAGGCAATATTAATAGTTTGATATATTAAACCAGACTTAACCAATGGCTACCCATCGCGCTTCCTTGGCTTCTCGATTTACATATCGAATACAACCAACAAAGATGAAGGGTTCCTGTGTTTTAAGGACACAATCTTCACCATAGTCACAATTCCGGATAATATTAAAATAGAATGCGTAAAACATGGACAATATGTCATCTACTACAATGAGAGACTCCCACGAGTTTCTTACCCGGATGGTTATTCTCAATATGCATTCAACGAGCTCTGTGAACTTGAAGTTTATGGTAAGAGGACATAGTAAAATGCTACTGAAACAAGTAAAGGTCTAAATTGGAATCCATCAACTGCACCTAATAATTTTTTATATGAATTAAATAATCTCTCAAGGGACCTTAATCTGTAAACAATCTACAAATCTGTTTAGTGTTAGTGATTATGTACCTCGCGTAGTCAGATAAACTTTGTAATGATAATTATAGCTAAAAAAAATTGAGGTAGCAGCTTTCGCAATTACTTTTCTTATGAATATTTAGCATTGAGTACCATTTTTTACATTGGTATGAAAAAGTTTGCATGCACATGTTTCTGGTAATGATTGAGGCAACTTGACCAATTTATGAAGCTACATACATGTAAAGGGATATACTGATATAAAATCATTTACTACTATTTAAATAGGATGTCCTACCACTGGTGAATATGGAGAAAACTGTATTCTAAATTGTCCACAGAATTGCCAGGAAGGTCATTGTAACATTGTAGATGGGACGTGTCTTGGATGTGTTGTCGGATTCAAAGGATCTCAATGTGAAGAAGGTACGCGCGCGCGTGTGTGTGTTTGTGTGTGTGAGGGTGTGTGTGTGTGAGACTTTTTTTGATGTACTGTGACGACAAATGAATGTCATGTCAAAGGTCATATATTAATCAAATCGTACCAATAAATGTATGTTATAAAATAATGGCTTTATTTGAAAGAGTTTTACATAGGCTTTCCCCTTAGTGAATAACTTTAATATGTTTAGTGTTCTGAAGTGCGTGTATCATTGATGTCGGAATCCATTATAATTAAATGTGCAAAGGTAGAAATCCATTTTTTTTTCAGAATGTGACAATCATAGATTCGGTCTTGAGTGTAAGTACACCTGTGGTAACTGTAGTAGCGGAGAACAATGTAATCACGTGAATGGAAGTTGTCCAAACGGATGTGACGTAGGTGCTCAAGGAGTTTCGTGTGAAGAACGTGAGCTATTTTTTTAGCCATTTGTAAAACTGCCGTGTTTCTTCTTTTTTTTTTCAAGTAAACAGTCCAATACATCAATATGTCTCTTGATTTCTCATATGTTTCCTGGTGTATCATACTGATATAAAAAGCAAGAAGAAAGACACTAGACCTATTGACTCCTTGGTTTAAAGTTTGTTTTGAGATAATCTTGTTATAGAGGTTTCTGACACAGAATTTTGATCATTGGTTTACCTATTTTGTGACAGCTTGCCCTGTTGGTAAACATGGAAAAAATTGTGATGAAGAATGTTCGTCAAACTGTAAAGGCTGCAACAGATTCAATGGTGTTTGCGAGTTTGGGTGTTACGATGGATGGAAAGGAACGTTTTGTGAAAATGGTATTTTTTGCTCATATAGCTTTTTTGTATGCAAATCAATTGGTTGAATTTAAAAACATAGCGTTTGTAACTTTCACTTACTGGGACCTTGGTTTTGTTCTCTTAAATTTTTATTAGCTAACAAAATATTTTAAAGCACTGACTTAATGCAGTGTATTGTAATGCCTCCTAATTCAATAATTCATTATTAATTTATTTGAATTTATAAACTTGTATATATTTATTGCAACGGATCATGATTGTTATGTAGTTTTACTTTAAATCAGATCTACTCCTTCAAGGAGTTTCTTAATTCTTCTATGAACATTAAAACACACTTTCTTGTATTCATGCGTAAAATATAAATAATTGAATAATGGTTGTTGCAGAATGTGATGGACTGATGTACGGACATAACTGCAATCAATCATGTGGTTTTTGTTTGAAATCAAAACAATGTCATCACATTAATGGGACATGTTTAAATGGATGTGACAGAAGTTATCAAGGAGAGAATTGTACAGAAGGTAGGGGAGATCTGATCACGTCCAAGACCTTTATCAAATGGTTCATTTACTTTTGTTCATGTTTACCAACAGGACAAGCTGTCACAAAGTAGGTAAACCATAACAGAAGGTAGGGGAGATTTTATCACATCCATGACCTTTTCCAAATGGTTCATTTATCAATATTGGCACAGCACACGGATGAAGGCTACTGTTACAATCTATATTCCGCACGGAAGTGAAAATATTATACAAATTATAGTCTTTCTTTGCTGAAATATAAACATGCATTCTCTTCGTAAGGTCATGGAAATGATATTTTTTAGAATCATAATTTGTAGACACATTAAATCACACATGCATTTGTCATTGATTTAATGGTAAGTCTCTCTTTACGAATTTTATTTGCTATATCTGATTTCAAAAAGTAAAGTAGATATCAAAATGCATTGAGAAAAGCTACACAGTTTGTACGAATTTGCTTTGGAGTTTATACAAACCTGTTTGTAAGAAATGCTAAATGGTTTACAAGAAAGTCTAAAAATCTGATCAATGTAGAGGGTCCACGGGGTGTATTCTTTCAGGAGGGAATATTTAACCTTCCTAAGCACTTTTGATCTCACCTGTGTGGTAGTCGTCCAGCAGCTTATTTCGTTTCCTTGTTCACGATTCGTATTTTTAATGAAATTGATCACTGTTATTTTCACCTATCATCGTATATGGTTTCTTGCATGCTTTATGCATTGATTTGTCATTACATTTCAATTACAGCATACCTCTTCCCTTTTCTTCTATCGAAATTCTCTTAAAAGTATTATACGTTTCTTCTGGTCCTTTAACACAACTTTTTGTCAATATAAATATTTTACAACAGCTTGTTTACAGTTAAGCAGACAAGTAACAACACAGTTCAAGAAGACAATCACACGTATCAATGATTCCTAATTCTTATTTTTAGTATTCTTGCATTTTTAGAATGTCCTGACGGATATTTTGACTACGGATGTCAGGACAAGTGCAGCATCAACTGTGGGGTTCCTGGTAAATGTAACAGCGTGACAGGACAATGTCAAGGAGGATGTCAGGCAGGATGGAGAGATACGAAATGTGACAAAAGTAAGCATTAGGTAATCTATACAAAAATGTAATAAGTCTCATATTTGATGTAATTTTTCAGAAAGACAAATGGATTATCAAATATGAAATTTATGATTTGTCTCAAATTTGATGTAATTTTTCAGAAAGACAAATGGATTATCAAATATGAAATTTATGTTTTGTCTCAAATTTGATGTAATTTTTTCAGAAAGGCAAATGGATTATGAAATATGACGTTTATGTTTCGTCAAAGATATGGATGCTTTATTACCGCAGTTATCCGTATACAGTGACAAAATGCTGAGAATGTTAAACAAGAGGCCCATGGGCCAAATCGCTCTTCTGAGCACAGTGGCTAGGAAAATGTAGAAATTAGTTAAAGATTGAAAAGCTTACCAGGTGGACAAACTTAAATTTATACTGTCTCAGGATAGATGCTTTCATATCAATACTACTAATCACGGTTTTTCTGTTCCAGAGGAGATGCATTTTGATGTATTTTCCCCTATGTTTTCCTATGTAAATCTCTAATTGCTCATTTTAGCCCAACATTTCCCATCCTAAATTTGAATAAATTTGAATTTAAACAACCTGAGGATTCTTCTATTATAATATTACTACTTGTGGCTTTTCTGTTCTTGAGCAGATTTGTTCGATTTGATTCCTATATTTTCTTATGTAAAACTTCCTCCCTAATCCCTGGGCCGTCATAATTTGGACAAACTTAATTATACAATACCTTAGGTTGCTTCTGTATAAATATGACTAATAACGGCTTAGTTGTTCTTGTGAAGAGGACATTTAAAGATATTTCCTATGTAACGTGTGTGATCAGGTTCTTACAAGGGATATATAGGTTTCCTTTTACTCTGTCTGATTTAATGATTGGAATGATTATTAAGACTGCTCTGTCTAAGGAGGAAATTCCAAAGGACTAAATTTTTTTCTCTTATCGAGAGAAGGGGACTGGGTAAGGTACTACTTGCACCGAGTTTCTCCCCTAGGTTCCTTTTGATAGATAAGAAACAGGTGTCTCAATCTTCTTTAGATCTACTACATCCAGAACTTAATATCAATTCCATGGAATGCTTCCCACTGGAACTTTTATACTTTTATTTTGCTCTTACCCTTAAATTCTTTATTGCTGATTTTCAACGAACATCTTCTGCAAGCTTCTGAATGTCTGCCTTTCCGAAAGATTTGCCTTATACACCCTTTGGCAAGTCCATTGGCTAGTCCATTCTAGGGGTTGTCAGGTCATTCCACCAGTTGAAGTCTTCTATGTGTTTTATGCAAATAAACATAATGGCCGTTGTTTTTGAAAAGAGGGGTTTTAAAGACATTTCCCCCTCAATAAAATAAAGGCAATTTGCAGGTTTCAATCTTACATTTGTTTTTATAGAATGTGATGGAGGTAAATTTGGACTAAACTGTGCCCAGTCATGTGGAAGGTGCGTTAGAAAAGAACAGTGTCATCATGTAAATGGATCATGCTTGAATGGATGCGATAAAGGTTACCAAGGAATCCAATGTACACAAGGTGTCGTATAAATTAAAAGTGATTGCAGCTAGGTTAAGGGCACCCATGGAAAATATGCCTTAGAATATTCCGAGAAAATAATTAAATACGGTGTTATTATTATTCTTTTTAACAGAATGAGTTTTGATGAATATTAATTGATCTTTTTGCATTCCTATTTATCGGTTCTCTGAGTTTGGCCGAAGCGACATCATTTAATCAGCTATTTGTCACGTGACAGGTTTAAAATTAGAAAATATATGCACTGCTACAAGGATCGTAAAAGTTCAACGAAATACAGTATCTTTTGGCTGTACAATTTATTTTGTTTTCTTTGAGACAAATTTCTTAACAGGAAAAGGTGCTAGGAGCAACTTCCTCATGCTCGGGAATTATGTAAAAATAAGCCGTCTTTCTATAAACACCCGATACAGATCTTATAGACATTAAATGCATGCATAGGGTAATAGTACTTTTTAACAAATGTTTTAAACCAAGCATTTTCCCTATTTAATTTGAGAATATAATAAATAAACGGGAATGTGCCTGCGTTTTGCATACAAAAATTTAAAGTAGGGATATATCTGTTTTACAAATATATATAATTGTGCATTATTTTAATAATAATTTTGACATATTGAGCAGTCTTTTTTTTCCAGAGTGTCTGGATGGACGATATGGATACAACTGCGAAGAATCCTGCACCAATTGTAGCTTTACCAAGAGATGTGATGTAATATCAGGACAATGTAATGGTATAAACACTATCTATTATTGGCAACAATGCTATTTATAGGAACCGAGTTTAATATCTTTTAGCGATAAACAACCTAAAACATAGAACAATTTCTATTTAGAAAAGGAACGAAATGAAACAATCAAAATTGTGTGAAAAACATCTGAAAAGATTGCGAGAGTTGCAAAAGTTATCAAATGATGCATATATTTGGACTCTAAATAATGTAATTTTATTATTTATCAGAAATATAGAGAGAATCTATGGAAGAAAAAAATTAAATACTTATATACCATTTAGTATCAACAAAAGGGAGCACTATTGTCCCTAAACCATGTTAATGAACAGTTTTGCGTGTGTACATTGTATATATGAATATGTTTCTTTATATGAAATAATTTATTTTACATTATTTTGAGTCCAAATATATGTATCATTTGATTACTTTTGCAACTCTCGCAATCTTTTTTTTTTTTTTTCAGAAAGATATTCACGTTTATATTTTTATTTTATGTTATTGTAGTTATAAGAAGATCATTGGATTCTAATACAAGCGACCAGATACCCTCAAGTCTGTATGGAATACTATCTTCTCTTTGCTTAAGCTTTGGCTTAAACATCGCTTTAATTTTCTGGTGAGTTTGATTTATTATAATTTTTCCATTTTAACTTCCGACCTACATGTAGTTCATGCCTTTAAATATCATAAAAATATATTAGCTTACTTCTTTTCCATATAACTTTTGTTATTAAAATAATCATTTTAGGAGTTGTAAAAAGAAGGCGTGCAAGGAAAAGAATGACCTAGAGAAAACTACTACACATTTATCCACAAAACCTACTAAGCTGGATACACAGCTCGATGATGATGTTGAAGACAGTGTAGTATACGAAGACGTTGATCAATTAAGTCATCAATCCATTTATGAAAACTAACAGGAGAATGAAGCTGCAGTGTTTGAGCTTATAACTTATATAACAATAATATTAGTATAATAACTTTTATATCTTCTTGTGTATTAAAATAGAAAAATATGGAATTGATATCAAATCACGGAATTGATAAGATATCAAAAGCCGGTATACTGATTTATGTATAAATGTTCTGCTCAAGAGAGAGAAAAGAATGTACACCTATAGTTGCGCTTCTATTTATAAGACTCTGACAGATTGCACCCTTTGTTGCAAGCGATCTTTAAAAATTTTTTCACTTACTCTATATATGGTGTATATTTCTTCATGTTCATAGCAATTTCGTACTACTGTTAGACCTTTATTAGCAGCAAACAATGCAAACCCTTATATACATTCTCAATGTAAGTAAAGAGCTTTAATGATGGACGACACAAATCACATTCTTTAAAATGGTACATTTAATAACGCTTTTAAAACTTGTGTTTGTTTGACATTTAACATTAAAACACATTAACACTAACACACAAGTAAGAGGCATAAGAATGAATATTTATTCAAAATAAATCAAATAAATGACAAAACGGTAAAATGAGTATAATCAATAAAATGGACTCGGGACAAAAATATGCTAACAACCCGCAAGATCGAAACGTCTTTGACTAAAATAAACATACACTTTGCAGCAGAAGCGAATTAAAAAAAATACCGTAAACTAAAAATATCCCTAGGTCCTAATTGTAAAATCAATTTATTAGCAGCAAATCAAGTAGCATATTTCTAAATGTAAGCATATGTACATGTACAACAAAATGACAATATGGAGTGCCATCTGGTACCCTAAAAAGGTACAGTAGCATTATACCAGTGTGCAAAAAGAAGAGAAAAAAAAAAACACCCGATGTTGGCTTGCTACTGAATTATTCAGTGAATTGATTCATTCTATTTAAAACGATACAGGATTAAAATCTGTCGCCGATTTATTGATGATCGAAATGAAATTCAAAACATAGCTTTCTGGTTTTCTGTAACTTACTATATTTTTATAAACTGTGCAATAATTTTTCATCAGTTTTTTTTTTCTTTTCTTTTTCCAAGTATAAGCTCTACTTAGTTCTACTGCACTGCTGGGTCCAAATAAATTTGTATTCTTTTTATTATTATTATTATTTATTTAACTGTTCAATTATTTTTCATTATTTGCATGACGAGTAGTCCCCAGTGTCGTTGCTTAGCAAATGTAAATAACTGACATTTTTAACGCTTGTTTAACAAACAAAACACAAAAAACTGTGTCACAGTTAAAAACAAAATCTTCAATGTCTGATTGGATTACTCCAAAGTTCGAAACATTTGTTAAAAGTTTTATCTGCTTATCGGGATTGGAACTATATCTTTGAGAGCAATCGTGTTGAGAGTATCGGCTGATTCTATACACTGATCAAATGTATTAATCAAAACTACCGAGAACGGGTTCATTTACAGAGAGGTGAAAAAATAATAGACAAAAAATTAAGACAATGTAATTAGGCACAAAAGGATATTTCCTGGCATAAAACATAAAAAAGACAAAATTTAAAAGTAAAAATTAATAAGAATTTTCAGCTTAAATAATACATTTAATGTACCGTTATGGGACCTTATACCACTTTTAGAAATAGACAAACATTGATGCAGCAAGGTAAAACGCATAGATGAAGCCTCAGCGGGGAGTTTTGCAGCAAATTGTACACCAGGTAATGTGCTCCCCGCATTAGCGTTAGCCTAGTAATCCAATCTGTATTTACGCAGACTTGGGGGAGGGTTCAAAATCTTACGCATGTTTTAAACAATTATAAATCACTTCGACAACATGGAAATACATTAACAATAACGTTTATATATTTAGAAAATTCCTCGGTTTACTTCGTTTAAGGGTGTGTGTTGTCTAGGCAGTGGTTTAGTGTAGCGCATTTTTCTAAGCTTAATTTGGTTAGGAAGCAGTCAGCATATTTGGTTGAGCACTGAGATAAATTGCCTGAAGAGCAATGACCCCGGCTAAAAATATGTGTAAATGAAAGAGAAATTTTTGAATGTTGAACAATAGATGCATGTGCAATGTCAGTAACACTTAAACAGTTTTAGTGCGTAACTTTAAAGGGTTTTGGCAATGAAATACAAAGGTACTTAATGTGTTCCTGATCCTGATATTTAAAAAAAAGTGAATGTTAGATTTTCCCCCGTTTTTCTTTGTACGCTTACATTCATCGAACTATAATCACCAATTTCTACCTTTACAACTTTCTTTTAGTAAAGATATACATGTATTACCATCTGGAAATCCAGTTTACATATTCATATTCTTCAATTGTTGAAAAACTTTTTTTTTCGTCGTCTGTCAATTTATACAGGTGTATGCCTTGAACCAAAACGTAAAGAATACCTAATGCAAATGACCGAAAGCAACTAAATTGAGGTATTTCGAATACGAATGGATAGTCTTAAAAAACAGAGGCAGAGTCAAAACTTTCCATGCATATTCGAAACTCTACTATATTTTTCATGTTAAGGACGGTGCACTTAATTCATTAAACTACTACCACCAACTTATTGTCTGTGTGTTTTTGTTTACCAGGAGGCATGATCTCGAAACGTACGAATGAAAATATCCCTTGCCCTATTTTCATAATAAACTTTTAGTGATTCTAATTCTAATATTCTAATAGTACCCCGTATTTTCTAAATATTTAAGTCTGTACAATCTTCTTTCCTTGATCTATATAAACATGATGAACTCCTCTAAGATGCACCCCAATGTCATCAAAAGCCTCAATTCTCATTCTGCTTTATTACCAATATTTCATTAAACATTCCTGAAAAAAATTCAGAAAGTTACGCGTGTGCAGAGAAATTCTCCAAATGACGACATGATAGAGAGTGACTTCAAATATAATCGTTTTAACACAAATTGATTCCTAGTTAATGCTTTTATTATTAGATATTACTTACTTTATTGAAGGAAATTTTGGTCGTGAGCATGTGACCCTACCTTACGCACATATAATCATGGTAAAATCCTTATTCCTGATTCTATCTTATAATAATATATAAGAAATTTATAATAATAAAAGTTTACTCAAATATGATAATATTTTCTAAAATTTCAACCCAGACTGTGTCTATTTTTTTTATTATAAATGTGTTATCCACTATTTTTCAAGAAAATTCTCTTAAGTAACAAATGTTTAGCACTTAATTCATAAATTAAAAATAGCTTTAAATTAGAAATGTAAAAGGTAGATATTTATCTTATTTTCCAAATCGATTTAAAAACTTCTGGCTAAAGTGTTTCTACTATTACTTAAATTTCATAATAATAATAATTATTATTAAGTAGGCCTATTGTGGTGGATTCTATTCCGTTAGAACACTTATACCCCTATATTTATCAACCTCTATTAACGTCATGGCTTTAAATTACAGAATTAACAGGAAAGTCATGATGTGATAATATTCATTTTGACAAAAAAAAAAAAAAAAAAAAAAAAAAACTAAAAAAAAAAAACTAAATTTTATGCTACTGTTAAAGAAAACTAGAAGGTATTTTGTTAGAAAATGAATTGTTTTATAACCTTTAGATCTTAGAGTATTACTTGAAAAAAGTTTAATTGGTGCAGAAGCACGTTTATTTGATGATTTGAATTAGTACCTTGGTTATTTAAAAAATCTTTATTTTTTAATTATATCAGTTTAAATCAATTAAATTCGTAGCTAATAATTGTTTGAATCTCCATTCTGCACCATGCAGCAATCATTATTCTATATATTATGGATCAATTGCCAAACGAGAGAAAAAAATCCAGAGTTTTGAAAAGATATACGAAAGAATGAAAATTTTCGCTCCTCCCAGGGCTGATGAGTATTATAAAAATGTTGCTAAAATACAAGCTCTGTTGTTTAAACCATTTCACTGTCAGCTGGAGATTGAACAGACCTTTGTAGTTTTCTAATTTTAGGCGAGGAACCAATATCCGGATATTCAACACAGTGACATTTTTAAGGAAAATACAGCATATTAAAAACTGGGCCAAAAAGCTGAAGCTTCTCATTATGACAAATCAAGTGTGAAGTTGCAGAATTTCAATTATTTTATTAAAAGTATAAGTAATTTCTCAATGGCTACCTTTGATAGTGTGAATAAAAAAGAAACAATAGTTCCAATATTACCACCCTGCTGAATGAATTTTAAGAAAAAAAAAACGAGTTAACAAATTATACATGTACAATTAACATCATAACCGTGTTAATTCTTTATTTGGATCCAATAACTTGCATGTTCATAAATGACATTTTCAAGAATATCAAATGATAAGGATAAAAAAAATTAAGCACAAATCTTTATTCTATGGTGTAGATTAACCGTCTTAATCAAATAAATACGTGTACAGGTTTGATATTAAAATTGACGACCTTTCCTCACTAAGAAATAACCCTTGTGAATTTCGTTAGGACATAGTAAACAGGGTACGTAGAATTTTGGACAAAATCGCATCGATTAGGTCTGTTCGATGTTAGGAAAAAAACCTGAATCAGTTTAAATAACTTAAATTTTTAGCTCATAATTGTTTGAATCTTCATTCTGTACATTAATAAATTATGTAATAATAATAATAATAATAATAATAATAATAATAATAGGAAATAATATAAGCATATTTGTTTATTTGTCGTGTTCTGTTACCACGCGCGATGTTTTTTCAATCTGTTTATTATTAAAATATTTAACCTTGGAATGATTAAATCCGTGTTAAAATCACTCCATATACGTAAATATTTATTTTGATATAATCTCTGCGTCATTATTTGAACTAAAACAGATTAGAAAAAAAATATTCATCAATTTCATCTTTTGCTAAGCACATGCCAGTCATTTCATAGATTAAATGCGTGTTAAAATTACTCCGTCTGCGTATTTATTTATTTCATTTTAATACGACTTCTTTGTCACTATTTAAAAAATAAGGTATCATTTTTAATTCCATAAAGG